CTCTGAAGGCTGATGAACCCATAATGGTGTTGGATCTGGTTATGTGGCAGAAGTTGAGTCCTCTGGTTCGCCTAAACAGGTCTTTGACCAGGGACCTCTATATTATATTCCAACAGGAGAATGGACCTCTTCATCCGAACTAGGCCAGCCAGAATTGCTTTGTGAAACATTCTGGAGCATTTTGACGAAATGCGTGACCACAGGATTCGCTCGACACGAGACAAATCGTATATCTACAGGACGAGGTGGCAATGGTCTATTCACACGCAAGTTCATGTACCTACAATTATAGGTAGCTATCGAAACGGCGTCGCTTAACATCTCACCAGACAGAAGTCTTCCGAGCACTGGTAGGATTGATACCATGTCTAGTTGGTACAATTTGTCGGGCTAGAATGTATCTTACGCAATACTAGGCCTTTATGGCGTGACTTTTACAATCTCAGTGTACTTACATCTTTCTCTGTTACATCTCTCTCGTCGTCCCTTTCTCTCTCTCTCTCTCTCTCTCTCTCTCTCTATATATATATATATATATATATATATATATATATATATATATATATATTTTGATTGAATAAATTACAGACATTATGTCAGCTAATTTTAATAAAATCCGTTCATATTCACGAATAATCTTCCGTGTATTGATGTTAAAGGATGAGAGAAATATGCTATAGCTGTTTAAATTTCTTGTATTTTCATTCCCAAAGTACTTTCGATTTTCTCCCAAGATCATCTTCAGGGGTGCATGTGGTACAAAACTATATGTTGTTCATTAGTATTAGAATTTATATAAAGATGTGCGTTGTTTCCATTACCGTAATTTTTTCATTATGCTTGCGAAATGAAAATAAAAGAAATTTAAACAGCTATAGCATATTTCTCTTATCCTTTAACATCAATACACGGAAGGTTATTCGTTAGTATGAACGGATTTTATAAAAAAAAAATTAGCAAACAAAATGTCTGTAATTTATTCAATCAGACATATCTAAAAGAGAATTTGCTGGCCAAATATCAAATATATATATATATATATATATATATATATATATATATATGATTATAATCAAATGAATAATATAAATAGATGTACGTTTCAGTGCTAGCATACAGATACTTACATATATTCCTTGGCGTAAGAAAAACAGTGCTCAATCTTTAACTATAAAAGACAGAATGTGTGTGTGTGTAACGAATGCACGACCGCAATTTTCGACGGATTTTCACCAAAATTTACATGCACATGCTCCAAGATAGTGGAAAGGCCAACACCGACTTTGGATTTCCCAACTCCCATCGATAGTGGAAATAATCGATTTTTTCATGCTTCTACGGCAGTTTTCATGTAGTTTGCGACCATTTTCTTCTGGCCAGAGTGAGAGCCTATAGCTGGCTGCCACGAATAGGCAGGAAGATTCTATTGGCCAGAGTGAGAGCCAACAGCTTACTGACACGAATGTTAACTAGCATGCTAGCATGCAAAAAAAAATCGATAGCTGCATTCATCACAAGTGGGAAACATTTAAATCTGCATGGCACTTTACTCCAATTGGCTCATTCGCTTGCTTAATCTCAACGTTGATTCTGATTCCGCAGAACTGGATTGGGTGTGAAAAAGTATTTGTTGTTAACTTTCTTTTTTCATTCGGTTTTTCCAGTTACGAGTCCTTTTTTTTAAAGCTGATCGTTTTGTGTTCATTTTGTTTAGTTCTTTTTTCGTAACAGATTTAATATTTGGTATAGAGCATAGAAAAAATTAGCAGTGTGAGATAAACAAGAAGTAAGGCATGTAGCAACATCAGCACGGCAAAGGACGCGCCTTTAAAGGCAAGGAAGGGCAAAAATATTTTAAGTCAAATGATAGCGATTGCTGTATGAGTCGTACTTTTTTTGAATCAAGCACAGGCAACGCCGGGCCATGCTGCTAGTACTAAATAATAGAGCTATTAAGTTTATATTAATAAAAATACTTAATAGCCCACAACGACAGTACGACTCGGAGATTCATGCCTAATGCAATCTTCATGTACTGAACGTTGTCTACAGTTTGGTTAATATTTCTGGGTCTCGCGTGTTCGTGATGTTTGGATGAATTATTATAGTTGCTAAATATTTAATTGTACTATAATCTAACTTTGAATTTAAATTTGGCTCAAACTTACACTTAAAGTTGAAAATAGAAATTAGAAATACTAATGTTCGTTTAAAAAAAGGCATTTACAGACACGATTGGAGATAAACGTTTGAAAATCAAGGGTGGTAACTCTTTTTTAACTCAACAGTAATAATTCATCTAAACATCACGAACTCTCGAGACCCTGAAATATTAACCAAACTGTAAACAACGTTCAGTACCTGAAGATTGCAGCAGGCATGAAACCCTGAGTTGTATTATATATATATATATTAATTCCTGGCTTTGTATTGAATGAACAATTAGTAATATATATACCGATGTAACAGCAAACTTGTCCAAATCAGGTAACAGCAAAATTGTCCAATTGTTAGATTAATATTTGAACCGTTGTGTTTAATGATTAAAGATATCTTACTGGAATTCACCGAGGTTTTTATGACGCTACTGGACTCTACTTTGAGCAATAAAATTGTATTTAGCTCTAAGTTAAAAGGATGATCTCTCTTCCTGTTGTGACCACCTGATTCAGTTTTGGTCTCTACTGTTCTCTTTTTTTAAAACTTATTAACCATTCCTTTCATGGTTTCTTGAATGGACTTTGAAGATGGAAATCAGAATATGAATGTTGGTGCCATTACTGAAGACCTGACTAATCATTTTTGTCTCACCATTGCTCAATTGGGAAGACATAGTGGGGCCAACAGAAAACAATTTTAACCTGTTCTCTTTCTAGCTGAATGACTCAAAGAGTTTTTCAATGATTCTTACGACAAATGGTGTCAAGATGGCTTAACGTCTTATCTGAAAACCCTGTAAAAAGAAACTCAATTAGTTTAGTGTTTTTTCAGATATTTAATATTTTGTAGGATGGACAATTATCCCATGTTATTACATGTTTTGGATAATTTTGCTGTTAAACCCTGTATATATATATATATATATATATATATATATATATATATATATATATATATATTATAATTAGAGTTGAATTAGATCAGGAAATAGTAGTATTAAAAAAAGTGCTCAAGATACATATAAAACGATAAAAAAATTTTACATCTAGAGCTTTTAAGCATAAAAAATAAAGTATTAGAAGATCAATTATTCGTAATCGCCTGAAGATACGGAAAGGTTGAAACCAAGGTAGCGGAATCGGCTGTATTTGTTTGTTGGGCCGTAGACAATTTTAAGAAGTCATTTATTCATTCATATATATATATATTAAGTCATTTATTCATTCATATATATATATATATATATATATATATATATATATATATATATATATATATATATATATATATGAATGAATAAATGAGTTCTTAAAATTGTCTACGGCCCAACAAACTTAAACATGTGAAATCACCAAAATCAAAGTTTCTTTTACTTTAAAAGCTATTCTTAGTCAGGTTAAGATCGATCCAGCACCCAGTCATAAACTCAAAATATGAGTTTTCTCGAAAAGTTTTACTTATCATTTCAAGGAATAGTGTTTATTTGCATAGTGACATAAAGCATTAAATGTTTTTGTTATTCAACTACTATGGTTAGCATTGAAATACATTCAAACAGCAACTATTTGAAATTATCACTTTGATGTATTATCGATTTCCGAAACATTCGCTAAATCAATCGTTTGAAAGGGAGAGAACTTTAGCTATGTGTGACTATTCAGTGCATTTATGCAAATGAGATGGGCGTGTCTACGAATGTACTTAAGTAATGCCCTCTTCTTTCAGTTTATTTTTCTTTTTTGCTCACGTCTTTCTTTGAAATTAAAGTTTTTCTTTATTCTTTCGTGTTTTTTTTTCATTCGTAATTCACTTTCCCACTCTGTTTTTTTTTTCTGAAGATCTATCTTTTAATACTCATAAAACTAATAAACTCCATGGTTCTCTCTTTTTTTTAATATCTCCCCAAACTTACTTACTTACTTTCTTTCGTTCGTTCTTTCTCTTTCTTTCTTTCTCCCTATTCTTTCCTTCTTTCTTTTTTCCTTCTTTCTTTTTTCCTTCTTTCTATATTTCTATATTTCTTGCTTGCTTGCTTGCTTTATTTCTTCCGAATCTTTCTTTCTTTTTTCTTTCTTTCTTTCTTTCTTTCTTTCTAATCTGTCTTGCTAATCTGTCGTTCTTTCTTTCTTTATTCCTTCTTTCTTTTTTCGATAATTCTTTCTTTCTTTTTTCTTCTCCTTAATTTTTCTTTTTTCTTTCTTTTTCCTTTTTTCTTTTTTTCTATATTTCTTCCGTTCTTTCTTTCTTTCTTTCTTTCTTTCTTTCTTTCTTTCTTTCTTTCTTTCTTTCTCCCTAATCTTTCGTCCTTTCTTTTTCCTTCTTTCTTTTTTTTCTATATTTCTTCCGTTCTTTCTTTCTTTCTTTCTTTCTTTCTTTCTTTCTTTCTTTCGTCTTTTCTTCCTTTCTTTCTTTCTCCCTAATTTTTCGTCCTTTCTTTCTTTTTCCTTCTTTCTTTTTTTTCTATATTTCTTCCGTTCTTTCTTTCTTTCTTTCTCCCTAATCTTTTGTCCTTTCTTTCTTTTTCCTTCTTTCTTTTTTCTATATTTCTTTCGTTCTTTCTTTCTTTCTCTATATCTTTCGTTCTTTCTTTTTCTTCTTTCCTTCTTTCTTTTTTCTATATTTTTCTTTTTTTCTTCTTTCTTTCTTTCCTCTGTCTTTCTTTCTTTCTTTCTTTATTTATTTCTAATTCTACTATTTATTTCAACTTCTTTTGCTAGTTCCTCTTTCTTTACAATCCCTTTTTTGTTTTTCTCTTAACCCTTTGTTAGTTTTAAGAAATTAGTAAAGTTGCTTTCAGAATAAATATAAAAGAAGTTCATCAATTAATAATCACCTGTAGCTTACGACCATATCACGTTGAAACACCCGTTCTCGCACGATCAGTGAAGTTAAGCAATGTCAAGCCTGGTTAGTATCTAGATGGGTACTGCTTGGGAATACCAGGTGCTGTAAGCTTTATGTACGAATTGTAAGGCTTACGGCCATATCACATTGAAACATTGGTTCTTGTACAATCACCGAAGTTAAGCAACGTCGAGCCTGATCAGTACCTAAAGGAGTAACTGTTTGGGAATACCAGGTGCTGTAAGCTTGGATGTGCGGGTGGTGTAATGGATAAAAGCTCGGAATTGTTAATCGGGGAACTGAGTTCCAATTTCAGCTGGGGTCGTTATATTCACTTACGCTGAACTACCATCGGGCATGAATGTACATCTTTTTCTCTCAGTTATGGGTTTATTAGTAGCACTAAATCGTTATTATCTAAAAAAAAAATCCTAACAATCTAAAATATTTTCTGGCTTTAAATAACCTGTAAAGTGTTTACAAATCATAGAAAATGAATCAATCAATTAAAAAAAAAATCATGTCTCATCCCTGCATCGTCCGGTAAAAGCTAACCAGTCATCCCAAACCGATATCCTATCAGCCCGCCACCCCGAGACGACATTAATCTCTCGCCCTGCTGAACAAAGTCTAAGAGTTGAATGCATTTCTTTCATTTTCTACTTCCAAGCATTCTTTTTCTTTAATGTGCTGCGTTCCTTCATAAAAAAAGACGGCCATGACTCTCCACAACTTTCTAGCTGAGGTAGCACTTAACAGTTTTTTCTTCCTCTACTAAGGCCAACGACCCCCGTTCTGCCAACCATTCTCACAAGCGGAGATCAAAAATTTAGAATCTAAATTTAAGTCGGGTAAAAAAAAAATAGGTGTTAGATTAAATAAATATATTGTGTGTCCATAAAGTCTCTTTACAATTTAAAAAATGATTGCAAAAGCAAATAAACAGAAAAATATGTGAAAATGAGTAGTAGATATTAAAGTTTTTATTTAACAAATTTAATACACCTCTATATGTGCACCATTAGTTGCACGAAGCACATCAAGACGATACACGATCTCTTCCTATGTTCGCTGTAGCATAGCCTCAACAATGGTGGCAATGGCATCAGTGATCGTTTGCTTTAAATCAGTGATGTCCCCTATCTTTGTTCGATACACGATACCTTTAACATAACCCCATACAAAAAAAGTCCAGGCGAGTGATATCTGGTGAACGATGTGGCCAGGAAATTTGGGTCATTCCTTCCAATCCACCGATCTGGAAATGTTAGGGGTTCATTTAACAGAACCTCTTTCATTAACAAGGTACTTGAAATACACAAAGGCAATGTGATTAAATACTTTGATAACTACTGACTACATGGAACAAATCTGATTAAGATTTCTCATCAATTGCCTTTGTAACATATTTTTGAAATTGTAAGGAGACTTTATGAACAGTCTGTATATCATATTTAAAATAATCGTAAATCAAGAAGACTGACTCTTTAGCCATCTTCACAATAATCTCCTTAAGACATTATGTACTTATCTCAGCATCCTTTCAACTTCATATATATATATATATATATATATATATATATATATATATATATATATATATGGTGTAACATAAAGTCTCTTTGCAATTTAAAAACATTATTGAACAAGCAAATGAACAGACAAATATGTGGAAATTGTTATTTAATGAGGATTAGATATTGAACATTTTTTTCATAACTAAGTTAATACACTTCTATCTGGGTACCATTAGTTGCACGAAACACATCAAGACGGTACACGATTTCTTGCTATGTTCGCTGTAGCATAGCCTCATCAATGGTGGCAATGGCGTCAGTGAGCATTTTGCTTTAGATCAATGATGTCCCGTATCTTTGTTCGATACACGATATCTTTAACATAACCCTATAGAGAGAAGTCCAGTGGAGTGATATCTGGTGAATGAAGTGTCCAGGGAATTTGGGCCATTTCTTCTAATCCACCGATCTGGAAATGTCAGGGGTTTATTTAACAGAACCTCTTTCACCTACAGGGTATCTCAAATACGCAAATGCAATGGGATAAAAACATGGAACAAATCTGATTAAGAGATCTTATCAATTGCCTTTGTAACATATTTTTGAAATTGTAAAGAGACTTTATGGACAGCCTGTATATCACATTAAGGAAAAATCGTAAATCAAGAAGACTGACTCTTTAGTCCACTTCACAATAATCTCTTTAAGACGTTATGCACTTATCTCAGCATACTTTGAACTTCATATATATATATATATATATATATATATATATATATATATATATAGATAGATAGATAGATAGATAGATAGATATAGATAGTGTCCATAAAGTCTCTTTGCAATTTAAAAACATTATTAAAAAAGCAAATGAACAGACAAATATGTGGAAATTGTTATAAAATGAGGATTAAAAATTGAAGTTTTTTTTTAAACTAAGTTATTACACTTCTATCAGGGCACCATTAGTTGTACGAAACACATCAAGACTACTCCTGACTACATAGAACAAATCTGATTGCGATATCTCATCAATTGCCTTAGTAATATTTTATTTTAATTATAAAAAGACTTTATGGATACTATGTGTATGAGAAGTCAGGTCAGGCCGAAAATGGACTACTGCTGCTATATTTAGGCCGGAGCTGCCAAGTATACACTTTCCAGTCTTGATAGAGTTCAAAAGTTCAATCCACAGGTCTGGAAATGTTTGATTAAGGAACCTACGAACATACAGTCCCCAATGTGGTGGTGCACCATCTTTCCGGCAAATGACGGTTGGGTGAAGGTCGAGTTGTAGTTCCACATCAATTGCCTTTGTATTATTTTTTTTTTTAAATTGTAAAGAGACTTTATGGACTCCTTGGGTATATATTTTGTATCTAATTTCCTTAAACATTTGGATAACATCTCGTGTTACAAATGCTGTATATACGAACTTAACAAAATCAAAGAAACTTAACACAATGTTTTAATTCTTCTTCCATGTGGCATGTTCATTCAGGATGTTGGGGATCATGGCTCTCCACAACTTTCTGTTCTTTCTAGCCTGCAATAAATGTTGTCTTTTCGTCATCTCTGCCAAACTCGGCTCCGTCATCCATTTACACAAGCTCGCCAGGTAGGTTATGCGTCGTTTTCCACCGTGTCTCTTGCCTTCCATCTGCCCTGTGAGTATCAAATTTTACAAGCCTTCTTCCCTCATTATGTGCCCTCGAAATGTAAACCTCCTCTTCCCGATGTTAAGCATAAGTGTCCTTTTTGTTGTTATTGTCTCTAGAACTTTGTCGTTGCCCACATGTTCGGTTGATGGTATTCTCACTATCCTTCTGTTGCATCAAGTTTCTACTTCATCTGTGAGGAAATTGCTATACAGGAAGACTGATATTGTTTAACAATTCATTGATGTTATATATAACAAACAGTATTGGCGTAAGACGGATATATATATATATATATATGTGTGTGTGTGTGTGTGTGTGTGTGTGTATGTGTATGCGTGTGTGTGTGTGTTTCAGCATAAGAGTATACGTAAGGCTTTTGTTGTTAATTTCCCTGAAAATTTTGCAACAAAATTTGATCTCACTTGTAATGTATTTGATCGCGTCTAAGTTAGGCGGGCCTCAAAATTCATCAAAGACGCCACATACAGTGTATATGTGTGTGTGTATGTGTGTGTGTGAGAGAGAGAGAGAGAGAGAGAGAAAGAAAAAAGAGAGCGAGAAGTGACATTTACGTAACAACCACGCACAACGTTGCCACATCTGTGCAAGACTAGGTAATATCCTAGCAGGACTAAAAAAGCCACATCCTCGCTGTCCATATTTGAGGATTGAACAAACGATGACCATTGAAATTCTGTATTCATATATATATATATATATATATATATATATATATATATATATATATATATATATATATATACTGTTGATGTTTATGTTATGTTAAGTTCATTTTCAGTTTCCTGTTGCTCCTCTTTTAGCCTTGTTGACATTTACATTTTTCTATTGTATTTCTTCCTCAACTTTTATAACTCACCCTAAAAAAAGTTTGTTTCCATTTGTGTTTGGGTTTCCTGTTATTTTTGTTTTTTTGTTTTTTTTTGGGGGGGGGGTCTTTGTTTTTTGTTGTTTTTTTAAGCGGGAAATTCTATGGTTTCTACATTTATGAATCTGGAAAATTTTGTTTTATTTTATTTTTTTATTTTTTCACGAACATTCTATTTTGTACGTATTGCTTAAATTCGCTGTTGGCGTATAATTGGAGTTTATCTTCACGCTAATTAAATCCTACGTTAATGTTACTTGTTCCTTTGATCTTTAGTTTATTAGGACGTATGTTATGTCCAAACATTACCTTATATATATTATAGACAATTCGGTTTTGATCGCGTGGAAAATACGGAAGAAAATATCAGACATGCTGTTTGGTTTTAGTGAGTTAAAAAGGAAAGAAAGAAAATGTTTAACGCCTGTTTCAGTGAAATGGAATAGGGAAACTTGTCGATTTTAGATCTTTTCATTTGTACCCTCCTACTTCTTTAAATAATAACCTGGATTAATACTTACGACTTTTATTACAATATTTTAAACTCAGATATTTTACGATATCGTAGTGTATCAGGACTGTATCAGCTGATAAAACGAATGAATGAAGTGAAAAGATAGAATGCATCAATTAATGAGAAAGAAAGAAACAAAAGGGAAAATGAGTCGATAGGGAGAAATCAACTATATATCAACTGAAAAGGAAGAAAGAAAGAAAAGAAAGAAAGAAAGAAAGAAAGAAAGAAAGAAAGAAAGAAAGAAAGAAAGAAGGGAAAATTTATCGACGGAATGAATGAAACTATATATCAACTGAAAAGGAAGAAAGAAAGAAAAGAAAGAATGAAAGAATGAAAGAAAGAAAGAAAGAAAGAAAGAAAGAAAAGAAAGAAAAAGAAAGAAGGAAAATTTATCGACGGAAGGAAAGAAACTATATATCAACTGAAAAGAAAGAAAGAAAAGAAAGAAAAGAAAAGAAAGAAAGAAAGAAAAGAAAGAAAGAAAGAAGGGAAAATTTATCGACGGAAGGAAAGAAACTATATATCAACTGAAAAGAAAGAAAGAAAGAAAGAAAGAAAGAAAGAAAGAAAGAAAGAAAGAAAGAAAGAAGGGAAAATTTATCGACGGAAGGAAAGAAACTATATATCAACTGAAAAGAAAGAAAGAAAGAAAGAAAGAAAGAAAGGGAAATTTATCGATGGAATGAAAGAAACTATATATCAACTGAAAAGAAAGAAAGAAACAAACAAACAAACAAACAAACAAACATTTATCGATGGAAGGAAAGAAACTATATATAAACTGCATAGAAAGAAAGAAAGAAAGAAAGAAAGAAAGAAAGGGATATTTATTTACGGAAAGAAAGAAACTTTATATATTTTCATGGTTGATAAATTTGATTCGTTTTTTTATAACTTATCAACCCATTCCAGGTTATTTAAAGCCTGAAATTATTTTTTAGATAATAATGATTTTGTGATACAGATCTTACTAATTAACCCATAGCTGAGTGGAGAAGAGGTGGCTTCATATTTTTCCCAAATGTGTTTGCGCGTAAATGAATATAACGAACTCAACTGGAATTGGAACTCAGCTCTCCGATTAACAATTACGAGAGATTATCCACTATACCACACGCACATCCAAGCTTAAAGCACCTGGTATTGCGAACCGGTCAGCCATCTAGGTACAGACTAGGCTCGACGTTGCTTAACTTCGGTGGTCGTACGGGAACGGTTTTCAACGCAATATGACCGTAATCTCACGTCAATTTCAGTGAAATGGAATGGGAAAACTTGTCAATTGTAAATCTTCTCATTTGTATTATCGGGCCTGCAAGTGATAATAACTATGTGCGGTTGAAATGGCCACCATGTTCACCTGACTTGACACCTTGGATTTTTTTCCATGTGGCTATATAAAAAGGTAGGTCTATATCCCACACCTCTTCCCATAAGGCTAGAGAAACTTAAAGTAGAGAATCACTGAGGCGCTGGAGAATGTTACGCAAGACATGCTACATCGTGTCTGACAGGAGCTGGACTACCGACTTGACGTTTGTCTTGTCACAGGTGGTGCGCTTATTGAACGTTTGTGAAGCTCGGTGAAATCGATTACAGAATTTACATCCTTTTGAATATCTTGTTGGAATTTTGATAAATAAATCTTTTATTGTTCAACGTGAAGCTTATTTAATTTCGTTTGCCAGCTACATGATGCTATTCAGATATTCACATTTTAAATGATGTCAATTTTGGAGGGACGCCATGTACAGCAATTGTTGAAACAAAGCAGCGGCCTCTCAGATGGGGGAGAGATCAAAGAGCATGAGGAAACTTGATGAGGAGGAACAGTGGTTCCAGCAGAGAGGTGCTCCTCCTCACATTGGTAATGTTACCATGGAATGGCCCCGTGAAATGTTTGAAGAGCGTCTCTTCAGCCGCAAAACTGAAGTGGAATGGGCATCTCACTCGCCTTACCTGAACCACCCCACCAGATTTCTTCCTCTGGGGGTTCCTCAATGAAAACATCTACCAGGGCGACACTCGCGCCATTGTTGCATTGAAGGCAGCCATCACTGAAAAGATTCAAGCGATCACCCAGGAGGAATGTACACGCGTTATCAACAACTTTGCCTTCAACAGTGCCTTCAACTGAACGGTAGACATCTGGAGTATATACTATAGGGATCATCTTGACATTTTTGGGTCATGTTTGATACTAAATGTTTGCAGATCCTAAAATAAATAATAAATGTAATTTCCACTACCCTATCACAGCGTTTCTCAACCTTTTTACCCTTGCGTAACCCTCAAAATAAATTACATGTCTCAAGGAACCTCTGCGCAAAATCAAAATTATATACCATATCTTTCTCATTTTATTTTCATCGTAATTCACGTGGTAAATATCATAGTATATATTTTTGAATAACTAGTTTAAGGAAAAATTAATACTTCTTTGTCAAATTTTCTGTAAAAATAAGGAAAAAACAAATAAGTAACTTTAAGTAGAGGTCCCGTTTGCTGAGTGGGCACTAACTAGTGAAGTTGGTCGGTTATTTTATTTTACGGTATATCAACCTCCGTGGGTCATCTAATGCTGACAGCTTTATTGCTGGCTGGCAATATTTTGTTTTATCAAAAATCTATTTCTGGTAATATTATTTTTTTCTCAAAAAAATGTATAGCTGGTAATATTATTTTCAAAAATATATTGCTGGTAATATTTTTTTTTTCAAAAACGTATTGCTGGTAATATTTTTTTCCTTCAAAAATTTATCTCTGGTAATAATGTTTTACAAAGTATTTTTGGTATTAAAACCTATTTTTACACTTTCATAATGCTGTTTACCTCAGTCCGGGGGGTTAACTATTTGCCCATAGCTAAGACCCTAACAGGTGCTACAACCCCGGATCAGGGTGGACCTGGGAACACCAGTAATTAAGAGGTGGTTCCACGCTCTTCAAAACCTCCTGATCAGAGGTCTTGCTGTTGGACGTAGTTGGACGTAGTTTATCATCTTATCTTGGACACGGATGTAGTTTATCGTCATGCACAGGACGGACTGACTAGTGAAAGTGGTTTCACACTGGTTCCGTACAGACATCGCTAAATATATTCCCAATGATTGTTATATTTTTAATAAGCATAATAGGTTAGATAGGATGATGTCTATAATACAATATCACAATAACCAAGTATATATTATGTGTCATTAGTAATATTACGTATTTGAAATTAAATAAAAAGTCAAAATTGCATTAGCTTATCTCGCCGGTCCTCGCAGAAACCCTGGGGACCTTTTGCGGAACCTTAGGGTTCCGGGGAACCCCGGTTGAGAAACGCTGGTCTGTGATTTGTGATCTTTGATTTGTCCCCGATCATTTTATTTGAAAAAATATGAAGCACCCTGTATTTTGAGTTTCACATCTTTGGTTACAAAATCTTCTGAATTACTTCTGTTGCATTAGCTAATCCTTTTGTTGTTTCTTCTTCTTCTTCTTCTTCTTCTTCTTCTTCTTCTTCTTCTTCTTCTTCTTCTTCTTTTCTTCTTCTTCTTCTTCTTCTTCTTCTTCTTCTTCTTCTTCTTCTCTAACCTCTCCTCCTATTTCTTCTTCCCTTTTTTCTTTCTTTATCTTTCCCTTTATTTTTTATGTGAAGCATCTGTCCACCAATATATTCGTCTTGAACTTATAAATAACTTCAACTCCTTAAAACTTTACCGGTTGACATCAGGGAGGTGTGAGAGTTTGTTCCGATACCCAGAGAGCCCATACTGCAGTTTACCCTATCAAAGCACCCCCCCATGAATCCGTCACCAAATAACCTTAGTTCAACCAACAAAGTCAATAGCATTAAACGTCTCCAACATATAGCTATCATAAAACAAACTTTATTACATGTTAAACATAATCCTTTAATTTTCAAAATAACAAAGGATCTACTTTATAGAAATACCCGCGAAATAAAGGATCTACTTACTAGAAATAGTTTTACAGTTTTCCTCTCTTAAGTTAATGATTAAATAAGCTCATGGCGAGTTCGACGACAATAAAATATCCGTAGAAATTCTCCTGTCGCATCGTTAAATATTTGAGCTTAACAACTTTATCGAAATAACGAATATGAATGCTGTTCGTTATTTAAAGAAGGGGTAGATATGAAAAGATTTGAAATTAACTTTTTCCATTTCACAGAAACAGTCGTTAAACACTTCTATCTTATCGTCTTCCTTTTTTTCATTTTCTCACAGAAACCATGTAACGTTTCTGATATGTCTTTTCCGTCTATCCACGCGACCAAAACGGAGTAGTCCATTATTTATGAGGTATTGAGAGAAGACGTTAAATACTTCTATCTTCCCTTGTTTGTTTGTTTATTTTCTCACTGAAACGAAGTAGTGTCTTTTCCGTCTTTCCATGCTTACAAAAAACATTTTCATTTAACTGAAACAGCCGCTAAAAACTCTTCTCTTATTTTATTTTCCTCCCTTCATTGTTTTTTTTTTCATTTTCACAGGGAACCCATGTAGCGTCTCTGATATTTCACGTGATCAAAACGGTATAGTTCATTATTTATGAGGTATTTGCAGAAGACGTTAAACACTTCTATCTTTTCTTTCATCTTTCTTTATTTTTTTTACACTTTCTTTCATTCAGTTCATCTTTTTTTAGTCGATATATTCATTCATTCGTCCTTTTCTTTCCAACTTTTATTCAATCACTTTTTTTTTAGCCAATATATTCTTTCTATCTATATATTTACCTCCTATCTTTCTTTCTTTTCTTTCTTTCTTTCCTTCTTTCTTTCTTTCTTTCTTTCTTTTTTTCTTTCTTTCTAATTCATTGTCTTTCTTATCAACTGGCGCATTTTTTCCTTTCGGTTGATACATAGTTTATTTCACTCCGTCGATAAATGTTGCGTTCTTTCTTTTTTCTTTCTTTTTCTTTCGTTTCAGTTGAAACATAATTTTTTTCTTTTCGTCGATATATGTTCACTTCTTTCTTTCTTTATTTCTTTCTTTCTTTTCAGTTGAAACATATTTTCTTTCTTTTCGTCGATATATGTTCTTTTTTTTCTGTTGGTTTGTTCTTTCTTTCTTTCTTTCATTTCATTTCAGTTGATACATAGTTTCTTTCCGTCGATATATTTTCCCTTCTTTATTTGTTTGATTGTTTGTTCGTTTGATTGATTGTTTCTTTCTTTCTTTCTTCCTTCCTTTCTTTCTTTCTTTCTTTCTTTCATTTATTTCAGTTTATACATATTTTTTCTTTCCGAAGATAAATGTTCACTTCTTTCTTTCTTTTTTTCTCTCTTTGTTTGTTTGTTTGTTTGTTTGTTTCTTTCTTTCTTTCTTTCTTTCTTTCTTTCTTTCTTTCTTTCTTTTCAGTTGATAAATAGTTTCTTTCTCTACGTCGATAAATTTTCCCCTCTTTCTTTCTTTCTTTCTTTCTTTCTTTCTTTCTTTCTTTCTTTCTTTCTTTTCAGTTGAAACATAGTTTCTTTCTTTCCGTCGATATATGTTCCCTTTTTTCTGTTTGTTTGTTCTTTCTTTCTTTCTTTCTTTCTTTCTTTCTTTTCAGTTGTACATATTTTATTTCCTTCCGTCGATCAATGTTCCCTTCTTTCTTCTTTCTTTCTTTCTTTCTTTCTTTCTTTCTTTCTTTCTTTCTTTCTTTCTTTCTTTCTTTTCCGTTCATACATAGTTTCTTTCCGTCGATATATTTGCCCTTCTTTTTTTGCTTGATTGTTTGTTTCTTTCTTTCTTTCTTTTCCGTTCATACATAGTTTCTTTCTCTCCGTCGATAAATGTTCCTTTCTTTTTTTCTCTTTCTTTCTTTCTTTCTTTCTTTCTTTCTTTCTTTCTTCCTTCCTTTTTTCTTTCTTTCCAGTGGATACATAGTTTCTTTTTCTACCTCGATAAATGTTCCCTTTCTTTCTTTCTTACTTTGTTTCTTTTTTTCTTTTCAGTTGATGCATAGTATCTTTCTTTCCCTCGATGTATATTCCCTTCTTTTTTGTTTGTTTGTTTCTTACTTCCTTTCTTTCTTTCATTTCAGTTGATACATATTTTCTTTCTTCCCGCCGATAAAGGTTCCCTTCTTTCATTCTTTCTTTCTTTCTTTCTTTCTTTCTTTCTTTCTTTTTTTTTTCTTTCTTTCTTTCTTTTCTGTTGATATATAGTTTCTTTCTTTCCATCGACTCATTTCCCCTTTAGTTTTATTTTTCTCATTAATTGATACATTCTTTCTTCTC